TTATTTTTATATATATAGTTTTTGCTGTTATCCATCAAACTTCAATTCACTGCATTTCTCACAAATTCTGGACAGAACAGTAAGCAACCCTGCTTTGACCAGACAGTTTCTCTATTCCTTTTTCTGTTATAGAAAAAATGCATGTACTAAGCTATACACGGCTTCATCTTCAACAAGTACAGCAGTTGCACATATGCTTTATTGTATGGTTCTTTGTTGAGTACTGCATTTAGGTTGCAAAATATGTGCAGTGGAAATTTTGTATTTATTGTATGATAAGAACTTTTTAAAGATCCTCTGAGTGTGAGTGGCCTTCAAACTATACAAGAATTGTTAGAAAGGAAATGATCGTATTTTTTTACAAAAATGCTGTTTTAATGTATGTATTGTGAATGTTTTACGCCAAAGTATTTTGTGGAGATAAAATTCTCACATGGCTGGTTACCATTATTGTTGCCATTCTGCCAAAATGCAAAGAATTTTGGTGAGATGAAAGCCTTCAACTCTTTACAAATAAGTAATTGAAACCTGTACATAAAATGTGGAAAGTTGTATAAAGTTAAAATATGTTTTTAAGCCAGTCTCTTTGTTATCATGCCCTAGAACCTATCAGTCTTTCTGGAAGCAAAAATGCCAAAAATTCAGATTCTGGGCAAACTCTTGCGCCTACCTACAGAAGTGTGTGAGCCGTACCGGAGCAAGTATACACACAGTAACCACGGCTAGTGATAGAGGATAGCGCCTGCAAAGCGCTGGGTAGGCCGACCCGCCAGGCAGATGTGCGGAGCAGGCGGCCCACCCTCCTACACATCCCCGTTTGTAGCTACACAGTTGTATCTAAAACCGAATGAAGATGCATGCGGGCACATCAGTTGCATCTACAAACAAGGCCGTCCCTCTTACGTGCTACGTTCAAGCCGCCCGCCACGTAGGCAACCCAACCGGTACGTACGACCAACAGATCAGTCCACCCGTCAGGAGAGGCGGCGGTCCGCCCGCAGAAGTAATACATACGATAAACTTGAAGTAAAAGTCCAGGGTACGGGCGAGTATTCATCGTATATTGTCATGGCATTGAAATATGGTGAGCATACAATAAAATATCAATGGCCTAACTTAAAGTAGATAAATCCGCAATCAGTCCGCAATGAAGAAACAACAAATTGCTGATATCGCTTGCCTTCTTAACCTAGGTACGAGAAATACTTCGAAAAATAGTCAACAAATTTACATGCAAACACAAACACAGAAAAGTTGGAGACAACTTCATACAACTCCTCCTTACTGCGCTAAAACGACCAATCAAGCACGCACCCTCCATCCGACGGTTTAGCTGCGTAGGAGAACATGCTGTCCACGAGCGCGGGGTAGGTCTTTTCAAACTCGTTCCACAGCACGGAGCCGGCCAGGTCCCGGGTCAGGTCCGCGATGTTGTGCACGACGATGGCCGTGAGCCGGCGGCGCAGCTTCCTGCCGATGAAGTCGCCGAGCCCGGCGGCGTGCAGCACCTCCAGGGCGCGCAGGGCGTCGCAGCTCCACAGCCGCAGCTCCGTGTCTAGCCGCAGCTCGGGCACCATGTACATGTCGGCCAGCTTCAGCAGCTCCAGCTCGCAGTTCTCCCAGTCCGCAATCTCGTCCGTGTACACGTATTCCACAAACTTGGCGATGGCCGTCTGGCACGCCGCCGTGGGCGTGTGGTCCAGGTGCAGTCGGACGCGGGACTCGCGGGCCTCCTTGAAGTCCCCCGTCAGCATCTTGTTGAGGACCGGGCTGCGGGCGGCCAGCACCGTGCGGTGCGCGTCCAGCTCAAGGCCGCCGTCGAGCACGAGCTTCACGTCGCAGAGGTTCCCCTCCAGACGGGCCTGGTTGAGGTAGAGGCCCAGGCCCGTGGGCGGCCGGGAGACGGTCATGTCGTACACCTTGAACGTGACGGTCACCACGTAGCCCCTGCCGCCCGAGAGACGGGCAGACGATGCCAGCGGATCCAACGCCATTACGGCCATCAGTTTCTTTGGCACATTGGTGGACGGCTGTATCACAACTTGCGCTTCCGCTGGACGATTTATCATGTTTTGGGTAGTACCCCAATGCATCTTGCAACGGACTAGGCACGGCACAGTGGCGTAGATCACGCGAATGCCCAGTGACAGGCTGCAGTCTAATTCGCATTTGAGGACAGGTTTTAGGAAAACGCCTCTGTCACCACTTCCCTCCATTTCACCCTCGTCGTCATTGTTCTGAGTCCATACATTAGCGAGTGTGAGTTCGCGGTCATAACGATTCTCGATCGTTTCAAAAGGGCAAGTCTGCTCACTTAGGACCAGCAGCCTTCGACGCATGGCCCAGTTGTCCATCGCGCAGGGGACGAGAGGCCGCCGTCGTCCGTGCCTGGTGAAGAACAGAAAAGAAAATAACAGCAATGGGGAACTGAGACCTTCGAATAAAATGGCTTATCACAAATTACACTTGTTGCTCTAGAATGTCAAATTAATAGAATAAAAATAA